AGCAGGAATTTAAACCCCAGCTCCCACATCGCCCTGGCTGTATGTGCGCAACGGGGGCCACACCGGCTCCTGCATCCCTGATGCTGAATTGCCTTTGGGAAGGGCAACGCCGAGCCCGGGCGGTTGCGGGATGCAGAAATGGCAGCTATGGGGGAGTCGGGGAAATAAGTCAGGAACCGTGCACCTGCCCAGGGACTGCAGTCCCACCAGCAGCGATGCCCCTCAAGCTGCAGCCCATTTCGCTGCTTGATCCATGGGGATGGGGGGACCGGTCCTTTTGTGAGTTAGAGCATCATCCCTATAGCAGGAGATCAATGGCGGGAGGGAGGAAATAAGCACTGAGAAATGCCAGCGTTGAATTTGGGGCATGAGTGCTGCTCATCCGCACATTCCCACCGGGCTTCAGTAGCATCCAACATTGTTTTGTATCGCTTGTTTTAACCCAAAAACCTTCATGCTGTTATGTCAGGGCTCCCGGGAGCCCCAAATCCAGCAGCAGCATCTCTGCGCGGGACATGCCCAAGCCGTGGTGGGACATGCCCAAACTGTGCCCAAGCTGTGCCCAAGCTGTGCCCAAGTCATGCCCAAGCCGCAGAGGGCTGTAGGCTGCTGGCAGCTGCCTTGGGGCTGCACCACAGGCAGGTGACAAGTGGCACCCAGGGCCAGGTTCTCCAGCCGGTAGGTGGCAGGGCCCCTCCGCAGCGCACCCAGCCCCGTGCGTCCCAGCCTGCCCGCGGGCAGGGGCACCGAGATGCCATTCCTCCCTCTTGGGACAAAAGAAAAAAAAAAACAAAAAAACAAAAAAACCCACACTTAAAACGACTTTTTACAGCTAGAAATTGCTGTTTCTGCAGCTTTGGCAGAGCCCTGCTAGGGGACTGGACCAGCGCCTGGGGCAGCCCGTGGTCCTACAGACACCCAGACCCCCCCTTGGGGTGCTCAGCGCAGCACCCAGCATCACCGCCACCCGCCCCTCGCCCGTGAAACACGGCCAAGGCGGCGCCTTAGCTTTTCCCATTTACATTCCTCTGCCGACACCTCCTCTCCCCGCGTCTCTAATAATATCACCCCAGATTAATTGGCACTAATACAAATGTACACAGCTCCATAAAAAGATGTCACCTCGCTCACAATGGGGGAAACGGCTGCTCGCGCATTATCTCTGCTCTGCAGGCGTGTAATTCACTCCTCGGGAAAACACGCTATTTATTCTGTTACCCTATAACAATCTCTCTGCAAACACAACGGGATCAGGGGCGGGGGG